AAAAAGAGGTCTTCTTGAAAAGCAAAACAAGATGCACTACGCACTGTGTGTACACATTTTCGCATATGTACATGATTAATAATTCAAAATTATCAAATAAAGACTTGGGCACTTTTTTTTTTTTTTAAATTCTTCCGAACAAATTACAATTGAATGAGATGGATACAAATAATTTAGGCTAATTTATACCTTCGACGGATGCAACAGCACATATAACCTGGGTAAAGGCTTGTAGGGAAGTAAAAAAATTAGAATGGTCAGGGGTATTTAAATTTCCATATATTTGAACAACATTTGGAATTTTCCCTGTTAACGTTTTTATTACAGATTCATCATTATCGACATGAGTAAGAGGGCACAGCTGACGTATCATCGATGCTCTTCCATTTGACGTTGTGCAAAACATTAGACGATGCTCTTTCAGGCCTTTTTCAAACAAGCCCAATCTTTTAAAAAGATCAATTATGTTTTTTTCCTGTACATCATTTAAAATTTGAGCAATTACAAAGAGTTCTGAAATTGCGCACAATTTATTTAATGGTTCTATGGAGCTTTCAACTATGTGTACGTTGTTACCAATAATCTTTAAGACTATATCGTTTAGGCATAGGGAAATGATGGGTTTGCTGCTAATATTTTTATTATTTAATTTCCTTCGATAATTTTCATTATTTGCATCATATCTTCTTTTAAATATACGAAAGTAAAAAATATAAAACATAAAAATCATACCAACTAACAGTATTGGTTGAAAAATGGAAATGTTTTTATCTTCAACATTTTCATATGATTTATATTTTCTACAATCCTGCCCATTTTTGCACGTCTTAGGCATTTTAATTGAAATTACACTTAAAAAAACATATACGGTTGTGTGTGTGTGGGATTTATAACTGGTTAATTTTGAGGTATATGTCAAAAGGGGGAAATGGAAAATAAATAAATAAAATTAAATATTTTAGGGAAATTTAAATAAAAAATATGTTGTTTTTTCCTTTTTTTACATGTATGTGCATTTAAACTGAAATATTTTGCTATTGCTGAAGTGCATACACAAGGCAGTCCGTGTCCCCTACGTGTGCGTACTGCCTTCATGCGCGTATAATACGTATGGATATATTACGTACATTTATATACATATTTGTTTACGCTTCATTTATATGAAACAAAGAGCATTTTTGAGAAAAGGGAACGGAGGCTCAAGGGACACGAACCTTGTTAATTCCATAAATATACAAAGATTCGCGAACAGGATTTATCTGCCTTCGTTCACATTTGTAAATGTTTTTTTCCTGGCCTCCCTTTTTTGGCTGGTGTTACAACATGACGAAATGAAGCATAATGGTGGCGGGGAGGAATCGTTAAGTGAAAATGCGTAAGCCACATGTGTTTGCGCGATTTCGTATACATACAAACACTCTTTTACAAAATTACGTACATACATATATAAATCCAACAGCACGTTAATGTCTGAGCTTTGCCTTTATATGCAAATGAATATTTTGAATCCTTCAATTTTGTTCAACTGACTCATTTGCGATAAGTTTGAATTG